GAAAAAAAGGGGGAAGTCTTTTCTATTATTTACAGGTGCATCTTTTAGTCTGGTTGATCTGACTTGGCTACTTCGACGAACGAAAGGGAAGTTCCTGTTTTTATTTATTATTGGTTTATAATTTGGTTTTGTTTAAAATTGCATCAATTAAATTTTTGTGTTACTACTGATCTAGTTTTTACCTAAACTCACGTAATTGGATCCATTAACCTCTTTAAATCTCACTTTTACCTTGCTTATTTTACGTGATTAGGGTTTGACTAATAATTGACCCTTGCTTTGCTATTTTACATATACCAGTAGTATTAGCTTGTTATATTTGGATTTTCATCCCAAAATTTAAAGTTAACAAAAAAAAGGGGCTCAAATTTTTATTTTCCATTGCTTGCACTGTTTGTTCATTGATCTCTTTATTACATGTCATTATAGTGCATGTAGTTACATATTGGTCGTCTTGTCACTTCTAGCTCCAATACCTTAAACATGAACCCCTCACAATTCAATTCACTCACCCGACAAATAGCGGCTATTCAAACCCAAATGATCGCTACTCTTGAAGAGAATAAGACCCTATCTGCTAGTTTGAAAAATTTTAAACAAATCCCTCATTCGATTGATGTCCATAAATATAAGGTGTCCCATAATAGACATTATCATCATCAACATGATGATCAAAAGTGCTTTAGACACGATCGCAAGGGTAGGGTCAGATTCGTGAGCGAGAATGAGATAATTTTGAAATTCTTACTTAATGGAATGCCCTTAAACAAGGAAATCAACTAGTGACTGAGTATATCGCACAATTTGAGAAATTTCGATCCAAATGTCATTTAATTGAGGATGAAACCACGACTTTGAGTAGGTTTAGCCAAGGTCTGAGAGATGATCTTAGGCGTGAGCTTTTCCTTCAAGGTGTCACTACTCTTGATCACGCTTACTCTTTAGCTCGAGATTATGAGTTGATTATTAGTACTCCATATGAAAAGCATGGTCATCGTCGTTCACCCATCTCATTAACGTCGTCTCATCATAAGTCTATCATAATTGATGCAATTTTAAACAAAACCAAAACTACTGGTATATGTAAGTCTCATTAGCGTCGTTCACCCATCTTTTCTCCGTCTAATGTTCCTTCCATTTGGAAAAATAGTTGTAAAAGTCGTGATAGTCCAAGACCTTCTTCTCCATGTAGAAAGCGTATTGACAATCATCCTTTGGTTTCATTAGCTCCACTTCCTCCCGTTAAGTCCCTTCTGGGACCTCCCCCTTCTAATGGTTCTCCAATCTTGGAAAATAAGGGTAGAATTTCTGAAACTCCAAGGTCTTCTTCTCACTTGTAGTGCGTCAACTGTAAGGAATTTGGTCACATTTCTTCCAAACGTCCTAGTCGAACCTTAGTCATGGAAGAACGAAAGAATGTAATAGATGAGCCGTTAGAAGATCTAGTTTATGAATCTAAACTTGAAGATTTTGATGACTTTGATGATAGTGAGGACACTTCCTTAGGTGGAATCCAGACTCTTCCCGAGACTTTAGATACTATATCCCTTATCTCCGACAGTTCTCGATCACGTGTTATATGTCATACCATTACCCAAGTTAAAGAGCTTGTTGATGTCATTAGTCACCCTTGGAGAATCCAATTGCCTGTGGTTAGCACTAAATCGAAATTCTCCACTACTGACCAACCTCAAATTGATGGTCAAAACAAAATTGCTAACCAAAATCTTGACAATTTATTACAGTCTCTAGTCTGGAAAAATCTTAGGAATTGGGACTTGATCCCACCAACCGTTCAAGTTGTATATAACAATCTTGTGAACTGGTCTTTAGGTCTAAATCCCTTTGAAGTCATCCATGGTTGTGAATTTAGGAAACATTTAGACCTTATTCCCATGCACCCACATGCTTATGTGTCTATGTCAATTGAGGTAGATGTATTACATTTTCATAGCTTGCATATTGAGATCAATAAACAATTTAAAGCAAGTAAAGCATTATATAAACCTCAAGCTGATTGGCATAAACAACATTTTAAATTTAATATTGGGGATTATGTTATATGGCAAGCCTGTAATGCTGGTCATTTTAAAATCTCAAAGCTTGTTGGTCCAAATGCATATGTCAATGACCTTTTATCACATTATGACCACCACCCTATTTTATTTGTTACGGACTTCGATACTTACGAAGGCTATTTTAGCCCCTCTGATGACCCGTTTCTACTTTCACATGAGAATTCTCACATCAAATCTTTTGCCATGTCTACTTCCATCCCACCTATCACAGCGCACAAAAATAAAATTGATGTTATTTTAGATGAACAAATGGTGTTGACCAATGATAGAGAGATTCAGTACTTTCTTGTTCATCGGATGGATCGACTTGATTCTGATGATACATGAATTTCCAAAGAGAGACTACAGCAACGCGAGCCAGATTCTTTGGAGCTTTATAAGAGTCAACAAAGTCCTCATTCGCCTAGGTTATCTTGGTCAGCTCATATTTTTGCGGATAATCTACAACTGGCGTTGTCATCATTTGTGGAGTTTCGATATTTGATTCGTCGGAAGATCATCCTCCATGGAATGTCTTGAAGCATTTTTTATATCAGATCGACTACAGCCTTCGGTGATTTGACAACTCGACAGAGTCGAGTTTTTCTCCCATCCTGGGAGAGTTGATGCAGACATCTCGGCCCATCTTGGCCTATTTATTTTTACTTCATGTTATTTAATTATATCTTTTTTCACTTTATTGGACTTGTCTAGCGGGTCTGATCCAAGTCCATGAATTTTAGGTTTTATTCTACTATTTATATGGTTTTCAATTGTAATTATAGGGAGACGATGATGGAATGAAATGTTATTGTGTTTGGCTTGTAGCCGTTTCCTCCCTTGCTTTCCCTTCCCTTCCCCTGGTTTTCTTCTCCGGTTCTCCCCCCTTTCTTGTTGCCTTCTTCTTCTTCTTCTTCTTAGAATTCTTCTTCTGGTCCCTTCTTTCATCCTGCATCAAAGAATAATGGAGATTCTTCGTTTAATCGACATGAATGGATACTTTTTCAACAAACTCAACAATTTTGAATATGAGCAGAACTTGTATAGGGAAAAACTAACGTCATAGCCACTGTATCAGCTGGCTTTGTTGACTGCGTTGACTTGGCTTGGAGTCTACCCTTGACAATTCATCCCAAGGTGTGTGGGCCACCTTGGCTTATAGGACGGTCGCACAACGTGGACGGCGCGACCGTTCAACTGAAATATTTCTCCATCCATTGATATTTTAGCTTCTTTTTTTTTTTTTTTATATATGTATATTGTGGAAAAAAATTGATCCAAAAAAATAAAAAAATAAAAAATCTAACGGCTAGAACATATTATAAAGCTCTTTTGGCCTTTGGTAATTTGTCTGCATGGAGAATGAGTCACTCCAGTTACTAGAAGTAGCACTATTATTTATATGGATGTAAATTAGTTCTGAATATATGCATTTTAGTACACTAGTCGAACTATATGAAAATCATATTATTTCATTCTTGGTAATGATTTGTGTGTCATATTACCAGTTACATGATTATAAAGTTTGAAATTATTAAATTATCATTATTTGCTTCTATATATATTATAGTTGCATTATGCTCCGACAAGCGCCTCATAACATTGCCTTATGCTACTTTGAAATTATAGTAGATATTGTTATAAAATTAAAAAATTATAAAACATGACACTCTTTTCGCTAATCTGATTGAAAAATAATTTACAAATTAACATAAACACATGTTTTAGAATAATTTAATAAAACTAAATCAAAAAAATAATATTATGTTATTAGATTTAGCTTGTTCATTTCTCCAAATAGGAAATTTATTATTATCTTTTAAATCTCGTCGAAAATTTTATAATATCGCCAGAATGTTTTTTAAAGAAAAAAATTCAACAATGAAGAATGAGTCCTTGTTTTGCTAGAGGCTTCAAGAAATTCTATTTCTACCATGCTATTTTTGGATGAAAAATTGCACAAACCATCCATCACCAAAATTCTGATTTATTCTCGATGAAATCACTATTAGAAAGATAAAAAAAATATTTTCTTTTTAAGTGAAAACAATTTATTTTGTTTATATATAGTATAGGAAAGAAAGAAATGCAAAATGGGATATTCGTGCTAATAGTAAAGAATTAATGTAATTTTTAAAATGAGGAGTATATATGTAATTGTCATAAACTTCAGAAGAGTTATTTGTAAATTACTCTTGAATTTATGTAACCTAAATTAATTCAGAGAAATTTCCTATTACTTTTTATCCAAGTATAGAAATTAGAAATAAAACACTTCTAATGATTTGGTCTCTAATCTCGTACGAGACCTCAAATTTGATAGGCAAAATATTTGTGGACTCTCGACGTAATTGAAGTTATAGCAAGTAGGTTTTCAATCTTTTTAACATTTTTGTTTTCTTGTCCTAATGCTCTAGAGACGGTTTCAGTTTGTTAAAAAATTGTATTACATGTGTTACAAAAAATACGGATATGATAAAATCGCAACTTATTAGTGTGAAATATCAAGTAAAGTTTCGACTTACCGAAATCAAGATGCATAGATAAAAAAAAATATGCAAAACATCAACTTGCTGACTACTAGAAAAATGTACATATTCGAAGAAGATGAAATGAAGTAAGGTATGTAATTGCAAACCTACTTAAGATGGAACAAGATCAAACGGACGATTATCTCCCAAGATACACAAAATTTTCCAAAATTATTGTAACACAATATTAATTTTACTGAGCGAATCAAAGTGTTGACAGTATTCTTCGTGAATAAATAGACATAAACTATAATTGCTTGGACAAAATTCAATTTATGAAGAGTCACACCTAAAACGGAACATCAAGACTCTTCGATATGCACCATTTGCATTTGAAATGTCACGACTAATCACTGGACTAATTAGAGACTTTTCAATTCACCCACATCAAAATTATTAAACCTTATCGAAAGAAACTATTAATTCCAACATGAAATATCTGTTAATGTATGAAAATCAACCAACATAGGAGGGATCACTGTGATCAAATGCAACCATTAAGTTCTGTTGTTCATATTCCATAACCCATAAAATGCATATAGAGACATGAGTAGCATCTTCAATTATTATCTAGCTTCCATCACTGACATTGTCAATCCGTTGGTGCAGTTCTTTTCCAATGAGATTTCTTTGTGTGTTTTTTGTGCACTGATCTCAATATAGAATGCTGGTTGTTTTGGCGTCGACAGGTGCAGAGAGTCATTTGTAAGCATAGAAACCACATCTGTCATGGAGGGCCTATCTGCAGCGTGATCTTGAACGCATAACAGACCCACATTGATGCATCTCACCATTTGATCCCTATGGCTTATATCAAGTGTTGAGTCCATTACCTCAAGAACTCTTCCTTCCTTCCAAAGCTCCCATGCCTGACAAAGACAAGTTATATGTGAAAAAACTGTATTTCCACTAATCTTATTGTATTTTCTTTAAAGAAAAGAAAAAAAAAAAGAAAAAAGATAAGGATCTATAATAGGACTCACAAATCCAATAAGGTTGAGAGAGTGTTCTGAGTCATAGGAGTAATAATTTTTCTTGCCACTCACAATTTCAAGCACTAGAACTCCAAAACTGAATACATCGGTCTTCAATGAAACAATGCCTTTTCCAGCATATTCAGGAGACATGTAGCCGCTGAAATGGTGATCAAATCTTTTTCAGATACTTGAATATTATTTACAGTTGCTAGGTTATTGATCACTATCAGTACTTACTATGTTCCGACAATTCTATTTGTATTAGCTTCAGATTGTGTCGCCCCAAATATTCTGGCCATGCCAAAATCTGATATTTTTGGATTCATGTTTTGATCAAGCAAGATGTTGCTTGCTTTCAAATCACGATGAATCACCTTCAACCTTGAATACTCATGGAGGTAGACAAGTCCTTGAGCAACTCCTTTTATAACGCTCAAGCGGTTGGTCCAATTTAGTAATCCTCTTCTACTATGATCTGTTGGCAAAATGTAGAAGCTGTCAATAAATGCATCATTTTGCAAAAAGATTGTAAATAAACCAAGTGGAAAAATTACCGAAGAGGAAATAATCTAAGCTTTTGTTAGGCATGTACTCGTATATTAAAATCTTTTCTTGCCCTTCAATGCTGCATCCTAAAAGCTTAACAAGATTAGTGTGTTGGACTTTGGCTATCAATAGAATCTCATTTTTAAATTCTGTCAGTCCTTGTCCTGAATTTCTTGAAAGTCTTTTTATAGCAATCTCTTGTCCACCTGGTAATTTTCCCTGAAAAATTCTCTTATCATTAATTTTCAAAATTAGGCTACCTTAAGAGTATATTGACAAAACTTACCTTATAAACAGGTCCAAAGCCTCCCTCTCCAAGCTTATTTTCAATGGAGAAATTGTTCGTGGCCATGGCAATGCTCTTGAAGCTGAGAAAGTGAACTTGCCTCATCGTCTTGTCTATTTTGTCACTGGTTTTGTTGTATTTGTCTGAAAGTGTAATAGCATCTTCAAACTCTTGAAGCGTCCTTTGTTTTTCAGCTGTGAAGTTTACAAGAATGAAAATCAAGATTTGGAATGATAAGTTTTGTAAACATGAATAGAACCCGGTTTTTAACTTTGGGCTACGTGCTTACATTTTGGTCTGAAGTTTCTTAAATAGCATAAGATGATGAATGCCAGTAATATTGTCCCGCTCAGAGCAATTATAAGCCATGCCCACCACTTGTGTGTATCTGCATCCAGGAAGAATGTTAATATTTTATTGCTGGATGGGTGGGTCTTGCAGTCAAGTTCCATTTTTTGCCTTTGCACTCGATGGTCAATCTATGTCCCGGCTTTGGGAAACCTTCGGACATTGCATTCTCCTCTAGTTATCATGTTTGAACGATGCTTCTATATTTTGTTTGAATATGTAAATTATTCTTATTAATTTTACTCGTGGGAACCAACACGTCCCTCACCCTCTCCCCTCCAAAAAGAAAGAAAGAACATGAACTGAGAAATAAAGCATAAAGCATGCCCGGATAAATGCGTTTTAATTTGTACTGCGGATTAGTCCTATGAGAGTGAAAAAAAGGAGCTATTACCAAACCCTCACTTTTTTTTAGAAAGTTAATTTCCCGGCTCGTTGTTGTGACATATGGGTAGAATCTCTTTACTTCACTCCAAATTTCACAGCCAGTTCCATTTTCGGTGATTGAGGCATAAGCAATACACGAGCAATTCCGAACGCAGTTGTCCCAACAGTCGAACATGCTCATGTTGTGGTATCCATCAGGTTTGTAACCATCATCCAGATAACCTCTCCTGGTCTCAAAGAAATAATTATCATCCTTCCTACACTCTGGCAATGTCTTACCCGTACAAACATCGTTACCACATAAAATGTTTTGTAATTCTGTAATTGGTCCTTCTTCATCAGCAACATAGCCATCCCAATCCATTACAAGTTTTGCCCAAGTGTCAGTCTTATTTGCTGAATAAATCAAGTACTTCTCATTCTCATTTGAAATGTAGCTAAAGCCCGCACATAATTCAGAACTATCAGAATTAACGAAATGTCCATTAATCCAAGGTCCACTAGTCCTGTAGACATTTCCCTGCCACCACAATACCAATCGGCTTGTGCCATTTGGGTCTCCGCCAATCGTAAATGATCCTGAGGCTGGTACCTCGTCACTTATCCAAGAAGTGAGCGACCATCGATTCCCTGTCCTGAAATCAATTCCCAGTTTCATTCCAGGTAGAAGTGTGTCTGTAGGATAATCAAAGCTTTGCCATAATGTTCCATTTACAGAACCATCTGGATTCAGCCCGCTCAGTACAAAATTGCCATTATCTAGAAGTGTAGCGCTTACATTTCTGGCTGCAGCCGGGGCTGAATTGAAAACACTGGGAACATTACCTCCACTGTATGTAATCTTCAAGTTGCCATGGGTGTCAATCATTATGCTCCCCGATGCGTCCGCAATTGGATTATCACGGTTAGCCACCCAAACTGCCTTAAGATAAAATTCTCTTCGATAGTCCGGGAAGTTAGATGGTGTGTTGTGAAAAATTCCTAAATACCAGCTCTTTGAGGTTCCTGGGCTGAAGAACTGCAATCTAAATACCTTTTCTGCTGAATACAGGGACTCCCAGACCCTGAGCGGCTGTTGTCCTTGTAAAATTGTGTCCCTGCTGGCTGCTGGGTTCACAAACAAGCAGTGTGACAAAGTAAGAATAATGGAGATCCTTAGTTTTATCGACATGAACGGGTACTCTTTTCAGCAAACTCAAGAGAGTTTTGAATATGAGCAGAATTTGTGGATGGAAAAACTAACATTATAGCATTGTATCAGCTGGCCGGCTTTGTTTACTGCCTTGCATGCTGACAAAGTGACTTGACTTGGAGTCTACCATTGAAAACTCAGTCATTAATATTTCAGTTTTTTAATAGGATTTTTGTCTGGAAATGAATGGATCCAAAAAATAATCTGACTGCTAGATGCCTGCAGCTGCATGGAGAATGTGTCCCTCCAGTTAGTAGAACTAGCAGCATTGTTTATTATGGATGTAAGAAATTTTGAATATATGCATTTTAATTATGATTTCATTCTTGATTATGATTTGTGTTATACTACTAGTTACTTGATTATAAAGTTCGAAATTATTATCGTTATTTGCTTCTATATTGGTGTTGATCTCAAAATTTGGTATGACTAAGTTGTCAACGTCTTCAACCACCTTCCTATTTACTTATATGTTGTCTTCACAATAACACCATGTTAGAGGCAAATGCCATTGTCCCAAAAATGGTCCGACAAGTGTGCGTACTCTAACGATCATGTCACTTTTCGGAGTTATCTATAATATACTAAATATCACATGAGGGGAGAATCATTTTTAAGACGATTCTATCCCTATTACTTACGTGCCCTATGACGATTCAATTATTTATTTACATTCATGTATAATAATAATTAACATTTATTTATAATGTGGACGTGTCGAGGTAGTTTGAGAAGGAGGCCAATGATGAATTGTATAAATTCATATATTTTTTGTATGCATGTATCCTAACTACAAAGATCAGTTTACTCGGTCATCAGACATTAATTAGTATACATGCGCAAAATGCTTAATTTACATGCAAAGATTCATTGCATCACTATCAATGCTTTGACAGATTTAGGGGAAAAATTGCACGTAACCAGTGGGGGCTTATGAGAGATTAAGTCATGATCTAACACAGTCTCAACAATTTATGACCAGAATAATTTGAGGGGATGAAATGTGCAAAATGCTTATTATACATGCAAAGAATCATTGTATGAAAATCAATGCAAATTCTATACTAATTAATCCAGTGAATTTATAAAGCATGCATGCACATATAAAATGAAAGTGAGACAGACATAAATGAACTTAATCTGTCAACTATTTAAATTATTTTCACAAATTGGTTGTTGTTACATTTCAATCAAATCATCAAATATTTTGCTCTCCCCCATCATGGAATCAAAGGCTATAAGAGATTTATTAGCATATGAAAATGAATGGTCCATTAAAGTGACGGTAGTTCGAAAGGTTTAGTCGAATCTTATTCCAACAATATTGGAAAATTTGATCTTTTGAAGATCATCCTAATTGACAAGGAGGTAATATATCTACTACTATGACCCTTATAATTAATAATTCTGAATTGATATGCGCCGAATATTTATGCTATGCTAGATTATTTTAATTTAGTTTTCATGATAGTGGAGTAATGATTATGTTGTATATTCATGTTTGAGTTTATTCAATCATGTATATTAGAAGAAACATAGTGATTTCTCTACAGGGATATAAAATTCAAGCCATGTTATTCAATGATGCAATTCAAAAATTCGATGCTATAATTGAAAAGGGAAAATCTTACATTATACAAAATGGAAGCGTAAGACATGTCATTGGGAAGTATCAAAATATAAATGACGAAATCGAATTGTCTTTCACAACTACAACGGAAGTAGAAGAGATCGAAGAATGCATATGCTATAAGATATCAAACTCTTTTTTTCAATTCAATGAAGTGCCAAATTTTGCTAGCGGAGATATCATAATTGGTAATTATATTTTTTAGTCAAATGCATAGTTTACAATCATGTTCAGAGAGTCTTACTCAGTATTACTTTTGAAATTCAAAAAACTCTACCCACATTTTATATCAAGTCCTATTTTGTTAAGCTATTTATTGAAGATGGGGGGAAAAAGCACTCCACATGACATTCGTGAAAGCATTGGTGTAGAAATTTATGATATCTAAGGTTGTCCATTGGCTAATGAATTCTTTTTGTAAAAAACTTTTCTCTTTGTTTTCAGATATTATAGGATTGGTAGTAAAAGTAAAACTTGCGTTCATCATCAATGTTAAGAGGCCAAGTGAAAGAACAACGAAGAAACAGGAAGCGACTCTCCTAGACATTCGGTAAATATCATCCATAAATTCAAACAACTATTTTTAATCAAATAAAAAAAAGATAAACTTTATGATATTATTTACTCAACAGATTTGTTCTTAGTACAGGTGTAATACAATGAAATTATATTTGTGGGGAGATTTGGCTGACAATGAAGGAAAGTTTATGGAAGATACTGTTCATGAAATGCCAGTTATTGTAGCTTTGAATGTGAAAGCAAGTTACTATAAAGGTGAAACTCTATAATTATTATTTTATTATCATATTAAAAAGAATTGTATGCTAAAATCAACAACGTATGCCATGTTCTCACTAACGTCTATCGAACAGATGAACTGAGTATCTCCACTTCAAATATTAGTATCATTGAGATCAATCCCCAACTTGAAGAAACTACTGCTATTAAAAATAGATGAGCATGGTTTATTTAGTCATAATTGTAAACAGATTTTCATATAGCTGAAAGATTATTTATTTTGTCTTTTTTGTTTTTTTGCACTAAAAAACTACTGTGGTGGAGGATTCTACAAACTACTGGGGACCTACAAAGAGGATGATGGATGCTAGTATCGTACAATTAGATGATATTATTACAAATAGTGTGACTAAATTGTAATGTGCTTTCATAGGCAAGATTGTAAAGGTTCAAAACAAGAACAATCCATGGTATGAAACATGTAATGGGTGACGTGCAAGAGTTTACCCAGAATAGCTATCTACATATCCCATGATGATGATAGTAGGACAATAAATGAAATAAGAAAATTCGAAGATGCACGTTGGGTATCTGCACAAGAAGCTTTATGGAGAATTTATGAATTTCAATTGAATGAAATATCACCCGCTGTCATCAACTTACAACTTCACCTCCCTAATCAACAAACGGTATCTTATTGGGAAAACCAAGATCTGAATAGAGTTATTCAATTCGATCACGTCTCAAGGACGATGTTGACTGAATATTTCAAAATGTGTAACAACAACGAGGATGCAACGAGGTTCTTATATCGAGAATTTCTAGAACACTACGTATGGAATAGGCAAGCCCTTGTATGGACAAAAAGGAAAAAAGGAGAAGTGATATGTTGAGAAACTCTAGTTGATAGTAATTATTTGTGTCATCAATTGCTATATCATAACTGAGGAACTCTTTAGTTTCACCCGAAAAAAGATCAATCATTTTTTTCATTTGTGAGATCAACGTTTTCATTTGTAGTGGATAGAATTGCTCCTTGTGTTATATATTCTGATGATTCAACATTATTTTGTAGGTCTGAGAAGACAGGGTTGATTAAATTAAGCTCTGGAGAGTTGTTGTTGGACGAGGAAGGTACTGTCTTTTGGAAGTGAGATGAAGTCTTCTCTTGCAGTTCGTTCTGTTCCATTGCCGATTTTGATTAAGTATTTCGCGAATTGATGATCATTTTGTGCTCTCATATTCTATGTCAAATGTAGTTTATGCATTTTCCCCAAAGATATGATTGTACTAAACTTTCATTAACTATTTGTTATCTTGTTGCTCGGGGGACAACTGGAAGAACCTGGCGAAAATCTCCCCCAAATACCATTACTTTACTCCCAAACGGTTCAAAGTTGTTCATGATGTCTTGAAAAGTTCTATCGACTGCCTCAATGGTTGCTCTCTTTGCCATTGGAGCTTCATCCCATATAATGAGTGCTGCTTGTCGTATAAGTTCGGCTCGACTACTTTGCTTTGATATATGACATATCGATGATTCATTTGTTTGCAACAAAATGTTGAATCTGGAATGAGTTGTTCGCCCTCTTGGGAGTATTGAAGCAGCTACACCAGAAGTTGCAGTTGCAAGTGCTATCATACCCCGCGATCTTATTTCAGCAAGTAATGCGCGATATAGAAATGTTTTACCAGTTCCACCCGGTCCATGAACAAAGAAAACCCCACCTTTTTTATTGTGTTACTCTATCAAGTATGAGATCATATGCTTGTCTTTGATCATGATTTAGATAATGTGATGCTTGTGTATCTTCAATTGGTGTTTCAATTAATATTTCATCTAATATGTCCTTTGTACTGAGAGAATGCGTATTTGTGGAGACATTTGTTAGTTGAGGCAAGTCATAGGCATCGATGCTTTTTCCCAAGGACTGAAGGAATGATTGAATATCATGAAGTGTATACTGAAGCTATAATTGTGATGAATCTTGATCTTGTTTTCTGAAATCTTCAGACATATGTTCGAAGAAAAAATCCCATAAATTTCTAACATTACTAGGTTCACAATAAATCAACAGTGTAGCAAAGAGTCTTCTAAATGCTCGAGGCATGTGAAAAGCGACTGCATCATCTAAGCATTCAATGATACTTCGATCGAACTCAAGAAGCCCTCTTTTTTGGGCCGCTTCTTTAAAAGTGCAAAATTGACTCCCATTAACATTCATGAGATCCTTAAAAGACTTTGGTCCCCTTACATGATTTAGTAATAAACGAAGATAATATCTTTCCCCCTCAGTTGTTGAAAATAAATTGTCCAATAATGCTCTTGAGAAATCTAGATCCTTCAAATGGGCTCTGCAATGGGAGTAGGATGGTTTGTCGTCAATTTAGTACACATGTTATACATGCAGAGATAACTACTGGAAAGTACTCTGACAAACACGTATTCATTCCGCGTATACCATTAAGTCCTGCAAATGATGAAGGATATCTATTCAAATTCATATGGAAACAGTTTCCTGTATGTCTATGTTTTGCAAGGACAATCAACAAGGCCCAAGGACAGACAGTACCTCACGTAGGAGTGACAGTTATACGTTGCACTTTCAAGAGAAATTTCTATGACAACTATAAAGGTTTTAATTAAGTCGGATACCCCTAA